GAGACTGGGAAGATTCAAAATTCTTTGGCTCGTTTGATCTGTGACAATTGTGGATGTCGAATTAGGTTTTTCGAGCATTGATGTCAAATGAATCTGATAGTGAACACTGTATATGCATCTTTCTTGTTCTTTGCTGGTGAAATTTGGTTTCTTTTTCTATAAGGGTTTTTCTTACACAGACTCCTAATGCGTGGAGTGAAACTAGGCTTGTTTCTGAGTCAATGATGGGTTCTCTTTGAGCAATGCATGAGTTATAACCCAGAATTCTTAATTGATCTGATGATCTTCTGTTCTATGGTACATCAATCTGTTTCAAGACTCTTGCTTTTTCAGTTAAATGATTTACAACTCTATAACATTTCTCAAGGGTACCAGTGGATCCACTCGAGTGGCAAATATCACAGGACACAGCAAGTAGCATCGTTGCGCGCTTAGCTAATACCGTTGGAGCAGCAGAGGGGGTTCTGAGGGTTGCAGCAACAGGACATGACAAGAGACTTTTTGTCAAGGTAAGTGTGTCCTTAGTTTACCAACTCACCATATGTGACTGTGATGATATTCTTAGATCATGCGTATATCTAAATGCATTAGCATCGATACATTACTGTCTTTACCCAGTTACCATATGTATGCATTGATGATTGCTTGACTTAGTTATTGTTGTGTAATGTGTACTGAAGATGTTGGTATGATGCTTTTTCGTTTAGGTCGTAATCTGCCTTTACTTCCTATCAGCTCTCGGACGACTCATATCAGGTGTAACCGTAGCTTATGCAGGTAACAGCATCCACATTTCATCTCAGACTTGTACAAATTTCACTATAATGTAGAAGAGTGTGTTGGTACTTGATGAGTAATAGTACATACCAAATATGTCAGATTTAAGAGAAACTGGCCATGATCTTTGGTGGGAGTAAAGCTTGGTTAGATTTTCAAATTCTTGTGGTAGGCTCTAGATGCAAGTATCCGGAACGAACATAGCCCAAATTCTGTCTGAAGGAAATAGTAGTAAAAGAAGTGAGACACAATGTTGTATTCATTTGGGAAAC